TGTCGGTGGTGGCGGTGGTGGCGGTGGCGGTGGTGGTGTTGGTGGTGGTGGTGGTGGTGGCGTTGCTGCTGTTGTCCTTGTCGTTGTCGGTGTCATTGTTGTTGTTGTCGTTGCTTTCGAGATACCCGGGCTCTAGTTAAACATGTAGATTGTAGATTGTATACTATACATTGTGCATCACGTGTCTGTTGTGTACTTTTAATATTCTAACTTACAGATCACGAATCAACAATTGCGTCCACATATAAAAGTTATATTCTCCATAAGCTGCATTATGCGCTGTTTTTATCCGTTACATATGTTACGTACTGTCATTGCAACATGATATACCAACGTCGAAATCAAGGCGCCTTCGCTTCGAGCTGCCAATTGCGATTTGCGATGACCTGCCAATTGCTTGCGATGACCTTAGCACGGCTGCATTTGCGCCGTCTGGCCAAGGATGCAACTGATGTTGGGTCGAACGACTGTTTCTCCCGATGAATGCCCTAGGCAACAATTAGCAACTACCGAGTCTGTTGAGGCTGCATGTCTGCATCCTGCCCTGCCTCCTTCTCCACATCCGATGCCAGAAGGATTGCCTCCATCTCGGTTCTTTCGGCAAAGAGCTGCTGCCGCAACTCCTGCACCTCCGCAGACGGAAGCTGCGGCTGCGGGAGGTGTCTTGAGGGCACTGCCGGGTGCTCTAACAGTGATGGTGCGGAAAGCCTTATTGAACGGAGGCGCTGGTACATATTCCATCATACTCCATCCCTGTCAGAGGGGCCTCCAAGTCGAGCTTTGTCACGAGCTCCTGAATTGCAGAACTGAGACACAGCATCGCACCATGCTCATCTCGTGGCGAACAAGCCCGGCACTTATTGCCTTTGTCCCTGCACAGCGTACGACTCAAGTGGGCCCCTTCCTCCAGATTTTACTATAATTCCAAGCTCTGGTTGGCCCTCTCAATTACTCGAAAGGCCTAGGCCATGTAGTCAACTTGAACTTCTAGCTGCTACGGGGCACCTCCATGGCCACGCGAGCCGCTCTCTCTTGGGCCAACGAGGCCCTCAGGCAGTTGAGCTCGCTGGCCTGAGGGCACGATTGGCAGACTGAGCATGCCCTCCGGAAGGCGTGTGCTTAATCTTGACACATCTTGCGAATTTGCAATCTCCCGATGCTCTTCAGGGAGCAGCCTCGTCTGAGCTCGAGATACTGTCCTGTCAGCACAGTGTCAGTGAACACGAGGGCTGCAAGCTGAAACGACAGTTACAACAACATAGAGTCCGGCGACGACTGCAGGAATACAGCGACTCGCACACCGGATCGTCCTGACTAACGTACACCGGATCGAGGTCTTTGAGGGCCTTGCAGATTCAGTTTGGCAGCATTGACAGTATTGACATCCAGCGTTGGCTGGCGAACGAGGTGGTTGAGACAGGCCAACAACTCAGTGCCATGTAATCGTTTCCAAGTCTGGTCCAAAAAAAAGGCGAAGCTGCAGCAAGTGCATGCTGCGCTCCCGCAGCCCAGCCGCTTCTGCTTCTTAGTCTTCTTCGTTTTCTTCTTCCGAACATTCTGCTAAACGACGCATGCTCCCACAAAACCGAACGAAGAGTGTTTTTGGTGATTGCAGCAAGTGAAGACATACTCAACACGCTTTCTATCACGTTCCCCAAACTCGAAACACTATCCAGCGCTCCAAACCCGGAGGATCTGCCTCTCAAGCAATTCTCAATGATGATATTCCTTGCTGAAGTACTTGCGGGAAGTTACCATGAAACCGGACTTGCTGTGCCAAAACACGCTGAAATTGCATGAGGGTATAGGGTTCAAGATGATTCGAAAGACAACAAAACGGGACATGGAACAATCAGGCTGCCATGACTATTGCTTGACACACTATTGTTAGTCTTCTCTTTCCTCCCATGACTACCGTTGTTCGTGTGCATGCCTTGCTGTATAATTCCTGCCAGGTTGTCTTTGCGACAGAGGCCACAAGAAGAGAAAGCTTTAAGGGTGTCGGTGCACGCACACAGCGAAAAAAAACAGCTCCGCATGGCGGCCTCGTCCGCTGGGAATGCCGGTTTCATGCAAAATCCGATACTTCGGTGCTCCCGGAACTGCCGGAATCGTGCGTACTTTGGGGGTGCTCCAGCCGTCGTCCCCTGCCCAATTCTGGCTTCAACACGTCGTTAAAGCTGCGATTTGTGGCTCGTTAAGCCGCAGGAAATCCGCCTCGCCATGACATAGTTCACTTACGTGTGTTTCCGATTGCCAGCGAATCCACGCCCCAGCCACGGAAACGCTCGCTACGACCCTATCCGTTCCCCGAAGCATTCATGCTAACATCTGTGTTCGAGTGCATCGGTCTCCCAGGGCATCCATGGCCCTACCGTGATAACGTCCATGGCCACATATGCACTTGGGGCCAGGGCATCTGTGGCCCAACCATGACATGTCCATGGCTTCATAAGTTTGAGAGCCAGAGCATTCATGGCATGATACATCCAAGGTCAAATCTGTGTTCAGGCCATGGTCTAATAGGCTATCAAACAACAGGTTGCATAGAAACCCGTACATCGCCCTGTGGATTCTTGCCAATTCGAAAAAGTCTGCTATGAAAATCAGCCGCCTGCTGATTCTGGAGATGCTGTACCTTGTTTCAGACGCAGACGCGTTTTGGATGCGTTCACGGCCATGCGAGTTGGGTCCGTTTCGTGTTCGTTTGGGTCCTGGGGATCCATTTGGGATGCGTTTGGGCGCGATTTTGGGGACTTGAAACGGTCTCCCAAACGCGCTTAGAGTCGCACTTCAAACACATCTCAAAAATACGAAACGCACCCAAAACGCATCCAACCCACTTCACACCTCCATTCCAAACGGGCTGCAAAACACAGCCCCCAACGCGCTTGAAACGCAGATGTTTGCTTCGCACAACTTCCCACGGAACTGCTGCGAACATTGGCGAGCATCCTCACGATCCAAAACTGTTGCTTAAGCCGCGTGCGGTTTCTAGCAAGTTTGACCATGTCGGAAACTGATGCTGTCTGCACCGAAGAAGCTGGGTGGTCGTTCTAAAACAAACAGCGACGAAAGCTCAAACAGGCTGCACCTGCCAGGGATTTTGCTGCTCTTGTCGGGGCCACAGGTGTTCGGGACAAAATCGCAAGACGATCTCCATTCTGAGCATCTAAGATCAGTGCAGACAAGATGGCCATGCTCTTTGCTTCAGAAGCCAAGCCAGGCCGGTCCTTCGGAGCATGGATCTTACTTGGAGGTTCATGGCTAGTTGTAAGTAGGGTTCTAAGTAGCATAACTATAGCTATAAGCCTTATTGAGGACTTATAACCCCACTTGTAACTATCCAGGAGCCTCCAAGTAGAATGTTGCTAGAAATAGCGATATGGTTAGCGTCTAGTCGAAATGCTTGCATTGCGATGAGACCTGTGTTGCGGTGTACGTGTCGGCAACCCTCGCGTTGCGCACATGTCGATTTCAAGCTGCTCGTCTGCCAAAGACGGAACGAACGAGCCAAAAGAAAATGAGCGCCTCCAAAACATGTCAACAACAAAGCCCTCCATTCAGAATGCCCTAGACCCTATCTTGCCACCAGCAACTTCTAACACTGCCGCTGACAACAAGCGGAGCTTTCAGGATCTATCCCATCTTTGCATGAGAGTCTGAATGGCATCGCAAACTCTGCTCTGAGGGGCATGACTGGAGATCCAACTGGAGGCTTGGGACACGTAGCGGCTCCTCGTGAGGTGCACTGCCTGCTGCGCCTCCGGACCACTGGCCTTGCATGCCGAGCATCGAGCAGGCTTGCAGGATTCCTCACCCTCCTGAAAAGCCGAGGCTCACCCCCTGTTCTTGAAACATGAGCACACAGAATCGAGCCCGGCCGGCCTGTTTGCGCACCCATGTCCCAGCCGTCGCCATTGCCAGACCATTGGCTCCAGCACCACTGGCAAGCACGCAATTCAAAGTCTTCCCGGCTTGAAGCGAGCGTTATCATCATAGTCTGTGCTCGGAGCAGCAAGCTAAACGTAATCACTTTCATGAACGTAATGAGAAGGCACAACTACGTGTGATTTTGTGGGCTCCCAGCCGGCAGACAACTGGGATACTCACTTGGGCGCGGCTCCAATCGACGTCTGCTGACCTCGTAGCAGTGCAACAGCAGCATGAACAGCTCGCAACACGCTCGGATTCCCGCAAGGCTGCGGTTCCAGGTTTCCTCTGAATGGGAAATCAGTTCGTCAAAGTGTTAAGCACTACCCATATCACATGCCGCATGCCAACGATCCAGAGCACCGGGCATACTGTTCCTCCAAAGCAACATAAACGGCATGGGGGATCCATGCGATAATGTCTCCATTGCCAGTAACAAGCGACGGCAAAGCAAAGAGTACATCCACACGACTCCGACGGGACTTGTAGTTGTGACGGAGTGCGGGTCTTGGGTAGGGCTGCCGATATCATGCGGTAAACATTTTGCTGGCATTACGGTTGTAGGGCTTGTGAGTTGTAGGGTCTGGGGCTTATTCAAATCGCAAAGCTCGAGGCTTTGGTGGACTTAAGGTTCAGAGGCTCAACATTTAGGAGTTTCACGGCTGACGGGCTTTCGGTCTACCGAAATTGTAGGTTCGTCGTTGGTGTAAACTTTAAACTTTCAGGAGTTGCAGGATTTGCTACATTTGGGTTGCAGTTTCAGCGGGCGTGATATTGCTACTGTAATACTGCGACCACCATTGAAGGAAGACACCATCTACTTGGCCATGACTCCCGCTCTTATTGAGGCTCTTGGCAAACGACGGCAGCTTGAGACCGAGCTCACGGCCACGTGACGCCATTCTCATCGGCCTGCTTATCAGCCGAACGGCTACTAAAATCATGCCACACCCGCGCAAACTCCAGCCAGCAATCCTTAACACCGTGGCGGATCTTCTAACGAGCATGAAACCGACGCAAGAACCGCCGGTTCCTACGATCCCTAGGCCTCTGCGGCACTTGCCCAAGAGATCATGCCAGCTGCCATGGCTGGCGAAAGTCTTGGCTGCGCTCGAAGTTTGGTTTGATGTGCATCTGCAAGCCCTTTGCCGAAGTGTTATCCTGATTTAAGCCGGTCGCTCATCAGATGGTCGTCGTCAGTGTTTTTCGGTGTGTGTATGTAAAAAAAATAGCGTACGATCTCGGAAAAACCTCGGATGTCAACATGGCCAGCAAAAGGTGGGATGCTTCCTGGTAGCTTTGAGACAAAACGCTTGGCTCAGGTTGTGTGTGGACTCGCTCTCGGAAAGCACACTGCAAGCTGTCAGTATGATTCGAACCTACCTGTCCCAATGCATTGCCTGAACTTCCTCCAACCCCGAAGCCTGCAAGCCGAAGAAACCCTTCCTTCGAAACTCGGTCCGAATTTTCTCTGCCGATGCCAACAGCTTGCAAAGCCGTCTTGGCATGTCTTGGCTGGCAGACCTATGAAATAATGGGAAGCATTGCGTGAGGTGTGATCACACTGAAGATTAACGCCGGGCATAGGCACTGCGTCTTTGATGCCCATTACAACCTCTTGGTTGAAGCGAGCTCTGTTCGTCGCCTTCATATTATTATTAAATTATACTTAGAAACAGTGCCTGGCGATCTTCACGGGAGTGTCGTTACAAGCCTACAGGCAAGTTGAATCGACCACTCTTATTTGCAGAATGGTGCAGCAACGTTGTGTTGGCCCAAACCGAAGCACTAATCACACTGCAAGACGCGCACAGCATCCCAACACATCGCGAAAGCAACATAGCTTTAGACTGCATGGGGGCAGATTGAAGGTCTTGGAAGAACCGTTAACGCAATCTACAGCAGTTGCAACATTCGGGTGCACGTCAGAGTCCAGTCCGATCAATGTATCACGTCATCATGTTGATTGCAAAAGGGAGGTGGCATGCGGATTGCGCTGAGGCTTCGACCATCGGTGCCCTGAACTGTCCCACAAGCATAGCTGTAGCTACTAGATGCTACTAGCCCCTTCGAGTGATGCTTGGAGCAAGTCATTTTGTATGTATGTATGTATGTATGCATGCATGCCTGTATGTACGTACGTAGGTATGTATGTATTTATGTATGTATGTATGTATGTATGCATACCAAAAGGTATGTATGCATGGAACTTTGTGTGTGTGTGTGTGTGGGTGTGGGTGCGTGTTCGTGTGTATGAATGCTTGCCTGTACATGCGCATGTTTGTTTGTATGTATGTAATATATGTGCTGGTATGTATACGCATTTGATCGGTTCGACGACGCTGGCGGGGAACACTCCGGGCAGACGGTGCCACGCGGTGTTGGGGTGCCGCGTTCACGTTGGCCATTTCTCGGCGGGCGGCTCAGGAGGGCGACACCAAGGATCAACTCCTTGGAAGTCTGAGTGGCTCACACTAGGGAACGGGGCCGGGATTGTGTGGAACTTTTCTACAAGCGCAGTGCAGGAACCGCTCCGAGTCTCCGGCAGCCAACTACCTGCCAGGGTTGCCGATAACCCGTTTTAGATAATTCTGGGAGCTTCTGTGGTGGAGCTATGCAAGGGCTGTGGAGTCAGTCGCCTATTCAACGCATACCGTCTTGTGTCGCCGAGCTCGTAAAAACTCCGGCAGCAGACGGCACGACGGAAAGCCAGCAACATGCACCCAGCAGCACCAAGTATAAATAGACGCCTTACTATAAAGGAGCCCAAAACCTTATTCTAATTTTGTGAAGGCCTCTACAGTATTCATGGAAACACCATGCTCATGCATGATGCAACTTAACTCAGAGCATGCAGTCTTCTGGCATCGAAAGTGTTCGTGGTTACATTGTCAGAGCGGGCGAGCCAAGAGTTGAGGTTGCGACTGCGCCGTACCGAATAAACACCCCGAGAGGTACGCCTTTGAGGACACAGGAGGCGTTATGCCCTGAACCTCGAAACTCATGCCAATCCTTGCATGATGCCCTCGTCGTTAAAACCTATGCCCGGAAAGCCAACATGTTTAAAGTTTCTCAGACCCTAAACTGATAATCCCGCTCCACTCTCACATGTTGTGATGGACATGCGACTGGGGGGGGACAATGTCACCACTGGGAGCCTGAGCATCAAACTGTAAAGTGCCCGTCACCATTTCGCACACCCTCGTGTTTCCAGAAAAAGTAGGCCATGACCCTGTGCACAAAAGAGCGCGCTGGCAACATGCGTGCAACTAGCAACGTTAACCCATCCCCAAAACGTGTACGCCGGATAAACCATGACCCTAAAATCCTGAAGCAAAAGCATCAATCCTAGACTCCTAAACACGGCTCTAGCTTGCAGCGAGCAGTGGAGAAGCTCGTCATCTGCCAGCGGTGAATCCCTCATCCCCTCAGTGAGAAAACCGCCCCGGCCCGACAGTAGCACACAAACCCTACTAGTGCAGCCCAAACCTGAGAACCCTCAAACCGTAGCCCTGATCTTGAATCCCGAATCTTGGCCAGCGCCTGGGGGTTTGCGGGCCAATGATGTGCACCGGCGCTGCGCGGCCCTGACGTGGATCGCGAGGAATGTCTGTATAGCAAGGCTCCGTGCCAGGCACTCAAACTGGTCCTGAAGAAGGAATTTCTACAAAATCTTCTAGCCGTCCATCTGATGAAATTCCCAGCAAAGACACGTGTGAGATCCGCAATGAGGAAAGGCTGGTGCCAGTCCAAGTTGGTGCTGGCGTGAAGCCTGCTGAGGCGGTGTTGCTTTTTCCTTAACATAACAGACCCTGGACCCTAAACCCCTCCAAGACACGCCGAACTCTCCCATAAGCCACAACTCTCGAAATTATACGGGCCCTGTTGCAGTTCAGGTAGGCTTTAGCGATCAGGCTTTGCGTTGAGAGTTTCGCGGATTGTTAGGAGAATCGGTCTAAGTAGGGCTCCGTTTGGTGTAAACCGGTTGGTACATGGTTGGCTCTATCATTAAACCACGAGGACCCCTTCGAGGGGGGGAGTGCGGGGGTTGCAAGGGGGGGGTCTGAAATAGGTACCGGGTACAATGTCCGAGTGGGGGGAGAGGCGGCGGGCCGGGGGGGGGGGGGGGGGCGCGGGACTCTGTATGACTCTGCCAAAATTCAGTTCTGTCTCTGTCTGTGAAACAGTCCCGGCACTCTGCAAAATAGACCTGGCACCTGTTTCTGTCGATCGGATGCCAGAACTAGAAGCACATGTCTTGCATGTACCCAAGACAGGTAAACCCTGGAATGAACCCAAAACCCCACATGCTCGAATATCCAATGCCCAAAGACAGCTGGAAGTAAGGCTCCCGGCGGGGTGCTTTTCCGGCTGCTTTGCCGGCGCCTTTGTCGCCTGCATTTGACAGGAAGCTTGATAAGGGGTTCCGCTGCCCAATCACTGATCCAGCCCTCGGCTTTGCATGACCCCAGATGCCAAACCGCAATACGCACATTCCTGAACCCAAGGCCGAGACCTCTTAAAGGACAGGACCCTGTTCCCCAAACTCGAAGCTTTATAAGGGTTGCACAAAGGTTTTTAGGGTTTCATGCTTCGGACTCCTACCTGAAATAACCTGCTGCTTTTTGGGCTTCTGCTTCCTCATTGTGGAGTGATAGCAACCTGGAGGCTGCGACGGTCTGTATTGCTTCACAGTCACTAGTACTCGGCAGCCCTACATCACGCATTTACCCCGAAGCCAAATCCTGAACCCCGAATCCCAAGGGGCAGCTTAGCCTGGGCCTGGCCGTCAAAGCCACCCTTCTGATGCAAACCTCTAAGTACGGAACTGTACCCTGATACCTTTATGGGGGAGCTGGGCTTCTACCCAGAGACTGCTGAATCAAGCCTTGCTGATTTAGGTAAGGAAGCCTCCTGAACTTCTGAGAGAGAAAAGGGCGTAAACACAACCCTGAACCTAACCGTGTGAAA